CACATCACCAAAACCAGTAATTTAAGCAACACTTGTAATTCGATATATTGTGACAGCCCATGATATTATTGTGAGACTTTTGATCATACGATATCACGATATTTCGGTTATTGTTACATCCCTAGAAATGACTATGGAAAATATTGTTTTGCTCTGTTGCGTCCAAATGCATGTGGTCCGTGTCCCAACCCTGCCCATGACAAGTTCTCTTCAGATGAGAGAGTGCACACGTGGATGGATGTTGTTAATAGTTAATGAGGATTGATGTCTGAAAGTGGTGACCTTGTATAGGGTTTCCTGGTGGAATCCATGCATATTGATCTCTTGGTTTTATGCTTTGTTGGTCCCTGCCTCGTCCCTCCTACTTCTGTGTCCACCTCATGATTAATGGCACATAGTTGACTTTTACTTGCAAAGCAACTATTTTAAAGCTCCACTACATAACATTTCTAGTGGAGGGTCCGCCCCCATTTATCTCCATGGAAGGGAGACAAGCAGGTTACAGCACTACGCTCCATTAAAATTCAAATCTGTGGAGAGTAAGGGTGTGCAAAAATACTGAAATATTGATGTATACCGTACAGTTTAATGTGATAATACAGTATCAATATCGTGGGCTGTTGTATCGATATATTAGAAGAGTATTTTTTGGTGTATTTTGCTAAATTATTTTGTTACAGTGCTACAGTTTTGTAGCCTGATTCATCAGCCGGTTTCACTTTGTGGAAACCGTCTGACCTTGCAGCATTAGGATTCGTTCGCTCAATGGTAGGCGGGTACTTTTTTTTATTTAACCATTCGCTGCTATTTGGTCATGACGCCGCTAACGGGGCTAACAGGTGTATTAAGCTTTTCCCAAATCCCGTAGGAAGAAGGGCAATAACGTCTTTCCCCTTGATAAAACTCACCAAACATTCTCTTTGTTCCAGCTTTAAATCCTCAGTCTCGGGAATCGTTGCCAACACAGAATGTATGGCTCTTTGCTGATTGGCTGGTGCCCGAACTCGCACTTCTGGGGTTCTTGCAAACCGTCTACTGTATTCCGATTCCTGACCTAGTCACTGGAGAGAAATGAAATTGAGCACTAGGTGGCACCAGCCTGGGTACAGTTTTGTTGCTTGTTTAGAAGAAGGAAACTCTTTTATGCAACACATTTGGCAATTTCACTGTTAATTGTTAAAATGGGCATTTTTCATATGAACTTTGCCAAGAAAGTGGTTTAACAAAGACTTTTACTATCACAGCCATGATTAAGCCTTTATTTTTTATTGAACTGTACCGAATTGTTTTGAAATATATTGTACTGAATCGAAAGTGAGAGTGAAAGTAAGTATCGAGACATGAATTGTATCGTGGCCTATGTATCTAGGTATGTATCATATCGGTAACTTCTTAATGATACCCAGCCCAAGTGGAGAATTGCCCCTATTCACAAAAGGAATTATTGCATTTTTGAGCAATAGAAACACCTGTAAGGAATAAATGCTATAGATATGGAACATTCCAGGCCAAACAATAACATCTCCATGTAGACAAGCACGCAGCGGACCCTCTACCAAAAAAGTTGCGCAGTGCACCTTTAAATCCTGTTCATAATTAGGAGAAAGTCACTTCAGATGACCCCTTTGACAAACTGACTCAGAGAAACTATGTATAACAACAAGAAGCTATTTCCTGCCATTATAAAAATACTGTCTCTTCCGGACTTAGTGGGAATTGATACAAGGCTGTGGTTCCGTTTTGATAGGAAAAAGATAAGCACGTTTAAAACTGTATAGGAACTTCAGGGAAATGGGGTCAAAACATTAATTACCCCCACTTCTTTAACCCTCACTCTCTTGACACATTCACTGTATTTATTGCTTTTTCAACCAATAATGCCACATTTTAGTGAACCTGCATCAGATTACTCAATTCTTAATCTACTAGAGATGTAACAATAACCAAAATATTGCGATATCGTATTGTCTGAAGTCTCACAATAATATCAAGAGCTGTCTCAGTATATCGAGTTCCTTTGCTTAAATACATTGTTCTTTAGTAGGAACAGCTAATAAACTATGACAAGACAACAGAAGAAATATGTTTTTTACTTGAATTCGTGGGATTTTGACAATAATACTTCTCACCAAAATCTTGTCAATGTATTTTAAAAGCAAAAAAGTGTCCTATCTAGAATTATATATGACATTCCAAAATATCGCAATAAATATCGTACAGTGAGATGCATATCGTGATAATAACGTACAGAGAGATTTGGATATCGTTACATCCCTATGATCTATGTTTGTGTATCTGTCCCTATTCAGATAAACATGAAATAAGTAAATCAATTACCCAACGCTTTGATAATAAATAATAGGGGTGTAATGATATCCAAGTCTCACGATACGATATCGTCACGATGTGAACCTCATGGTAGGATATTTATTGCAATATCGTGGGAAAGCTCACGATATGTTGAGGAGGCTCACTATTAGGGATGTAACAATATCCAAATTTCCCGGTAAGATATTTTCACGATATACATCTCATGGTACAGTATTTATTGTGATATTTTGTGGAAGCAAAACTGTGACTTTGCTACTTTTTCCTCTTAAAATGCCTTGACAAGGCTTAAACCAAAGATCTAAGACATAAAAGTGCTTAGAACTGTTATTTCTTCATGTACTCTATGCTGAAATGGAGCAAAGGATTATGGTCTATGTAGTTCTCTCTGCCTTTTTTTTTTTTTTTTTTGCAGCTATTGCTGCACCATAAATCTTCATTTAAGTAAAGACACTTGTAATTCAATATATTGTGATGGTCCAAGATATTATTGTGAGAACTTTGACGATACGATATCACAATATTTCGGTTATTGTTACATCCCAAATAAATAATAATAATACTACAACAGACTTATATAGCACTTTTTGGACATTCAAAGACACTTTACAAAGAAACTGATTTGATACATGTATGTAATATTATAAGTTGCTGCCATGTGGTTTGATCTCGCTTTCCTGACCTTCAAAAATCTGCTATCCTGGGCGCCACGTTTACGGCCGGACTATCAATAAACATTAAGTTCCTTTATATATCAAAAGTCCCAGTGTCCGTTGAGTGCCAGGGCTATAATTGTATTTTCCTTGACTCGGAGGAAATGACAGTTGGTCTGAGCAATCTGCCTGAGATTCCTGTTATTGCTTCTCTTATTAAGCCGATGCAAAACATGTCTGGGAATGTGGTCCTATAGTCATGGATACAACAATACACGGCAGACCAAATAATAGCCCATGTATAGCCCAGTGACCATAACATATTTTGAAGTAGGGTATATTGTTGAAGAAAATATACGATAACATTGAAACTTATGCAACTGACATAAAAACACAGCAGAGTTATCCCCAAAAACTTTTCTAAATGTACAATATAGTTACAAAAACACAAACTGCAATAAATAAATAGCAGAATGAACCACTGTAGTGAGTTTATACCTATAATACAAATACATTTTGCCTGAATTGTTGCGTCACAAGTAAAAATCCGGACTTTTCCTGTAGTTTTTTAAGTCCAAAACTTTTCTAAATGTACAATATAGTTACAAAAACACAAACTGCAATAAATAAACAGCAGAATGAAACACTGTAGTGAGTTTATACTTATAATACATATACATTTTGCCTGAATTGTTGCATCACAAGTAAAAATCTGGACTTTTCCTGTAGTTTTTAAGTCCAGAACTTTTTAAAATTTACAGTATAGTTACAAAAACAAAAATTGCAATAAATAAATAGCAGAATGACACACTGTAGTGAGTTTATACCTATACTACATATACATTTTGCCTGGATTGTTGCGTCACAAATAAAAATCTGGACTTCTCCTGCAGGTTTTAAGTCTATAAACCATCACTAGACTCATTCTTCTGTTTATTTGTGTTCACAGTGAACACGTGGCTCTATCCTAGCATTCACATAGTCTAAGGTTTTCATCTGTTTGCTTGCTTTAACTCTAGAAACACAGTATTTTACAAGCTTTATTTGCTAATGCATCATATTTCCATTCTGTGGATTTAAATGATATAAAATGAAGTGCTCAATTAGAGACTGAACTTGATGTGACTGTTTATTGAGGTTGTGTGAGTGGTAGTTTGAGAGAGACACACCCTCGGACTCAGGCTTGGTGTGCAACTTTTCTGACACTTTAATAAGAGGATGACCTTGCCAATTTGGTGCGGTACAACGCAGCAAATACAGTGTGTGATTTTCAGCAGTGTGCAAATGGAAAGACACGCAGCAAGTCAGGGAAATCTGTGTACTGCTATGACAAAACCAATCCACACTTGGGATTTTTGACTCTAATGAAAAAAACTAAACAAAAATCTTATAGTAAGTATAGGAGGACTGTTTTGTTAGACTTTTTGTTAGACACAGTAAACAAAATGCTTACGTTAAAAAAAACATTTGCCGTGTGAAGTTATTTGTTGTGGCTAACCTCGCTAAAACTTGCAATTTGTACTAGCTTGATACTTTAAGATAGTTGTTAGCATCTTACAGTTACAGTAATTAGCATGCTAGTAACATTCAATTACTCTGCTCATTGTAATTAAATCAAACCAAGATAGTATTTTTTTATTACATTTGAATGTAACTTTGGTAGCTCATTTGTATTTATAATGAGTGACAGAAGTCTTTTATTCAACTCCATAGAACAAGAAAAATAAAAAAACGTACCAAGATAAATGCTAGTGCTAATGCTAGTGCTAAGATAAATATTGACCCCCCAAAATGTATTGTTCCATCTAATATATAATGTAAGTAAGTCAGTGTAGTAATTATTGTGAGAGGCCTAAATCTGACATAAACAAAGTGAGTTAAAACAGTGTTTCAAATGCTAATGCTGGTTTGAATACTGTATTTACGTCCAGATGCTAACAGTGTGTTTGTGTCCAGATGCTAAGGCTGTATTTGTGTCCAGATGCTAACGTTGTGGTTGGTGGTTTCTTTGTTTCACAGGGGGCCCGTGTGTGGCTGCGGGACAAAGAGCAGCTGCTCCCCTCTACAGTCAGCTCCTGTGATGATTCATCTCTGGTCCTCACCACTGACTATGGCAAGGTAAGCACGCTAATACTGAATAATGCATGTCGCTAATGGTCACCTTAAACAGCCTGTGGCCTTCATTTGAGTTTGCAAAAGATAGTGGTTTGAAGTAGGCTATGTTGTAGGGTAAGACTGTGCAATTAATAAAATTTTGAATGCGATTTGTGTATCATGCGATCTACAAACTCATATAATTGAGTTGAAACGATTTAAAGCTTAACACCATTTATTTTGGGATATTTTTTATGTAAATAAGAATAGGGTGACTGTTTTCCCCTGGACATGTCAATTTTTTGCGTCCTGTCCTGGACGTCCATTTTTGTTTTGGTTTTTTTAAGTGATGGAAATGTCCGGGTTTTCATTACCTTTCATTGGGGCCATTAAACTGAGCGGCTCTCATAGCTCTGTGTAACTCAGAAGGAGTGAGCAAACTGTGGAGACACTGGCGGTCTAAATTTTTTTATTTACTATTTTAATACTTTATTTATATTTTGTTACTATGAACCAGATGTTCTTAATAAAGATTGAATTGAATTGAATTGTAGAACAGCTGTGTTTTTTTGTTTTTTTTTTTTTTTTTTTTTGAGAGAGAGAGAAATGCTGAATAAAAGTATCGTGTAACTAAAAAATAATCATATGAATAATCGTGATTTCAGTATTGACCAAACTAATCGTGATAATGATATTTTTCATAATCGAGCAGCTCTATTGTAGGGACGCACCAAGCTTTTTTCAGTTTTGATACCAATTTCAAATCTACAGCTTTAAGCATGTTCCGATACCCGTGCAGAGACTGAAGACATCATTTATTTCCTTAAAATAAAAGACAAAAATTATCCAAATGTGCTATAGCTGTTATTTATCTCTCAAGCAATGATAGAACAACTTTGTGTAAATAAAAAGTAAAAGCATTATGAGAGTTTTTGTGCCAAATACAATCAGTAATTTTTTTTACATCAATTTTATGGCCTAACCTTTATATCGACTGAAACGATATTTGGAAGTTATCTGGTTTAGTTAATTTTTCATTATCAGTGCCAGTATCCAATGCCAGTGTTCGGAGTATACTGATCACTAAAACAGCTGGCATACTGTGCAAATGTTTGAATATAGCCTCCTAACATCAACACCTTTTATACTGAATGAAGAATGACAGGAATGGGCTTCTCAGTCAATGGTCCAGGCTTATCTGTGATGTAGTGCAGGCTGGTCTTTGTGTCGGGAGGAAATCCTCTGTGGACCTGGGCCTGCTGTATATTTGTGGGATTGTTGAGGAGAGACAGAGGCCATGACAGATGGTCAGAAAACACAGAAAAGGCGGAGTTTGTGAACTACTCGGATACGTCTCATCCTCAAACACAGACTCCGCTGCAGGTCTGGGTCAAGGTAATAGGAAGGAACAGGCTGTGTCTGTAGATATACTCTGTCCACAATGCAACAAAAGCCTTTGAAATGTTATTACAGATACCCAAGTACTGCATTTGTGTGGCTTATTTGCTACTGTTATTTACTACCGTGAATATAATCATTCACTTATCAGTCAGCAACAATATTTTAAAGGGCAGAATAGCAGAATGGCCCTGTTTAATACATGAAATCTGGTCAATAACAAGTCATTTCCATTGGTAACCCCCATTGGTAAAAGGAAGCGGTCCATTGCTGCTGGACTTTTTAGACTTAAATTGATCCACAAGGGAAATTATTTGGACACAGTAGCTCACACGTAATAAATTATAATAACAAAGTACAGTAATATAAGTGGTAATAATAATCTGAGCAACTGTTGTGAGTAAAAAGCACTGAACTGTGTATTTTAATTTTTAACGGTTCCAAAATATCAGGAGACCCGCTTTGTGCCTATTTTGTCTGAAGCATGAGCTCATCTGTGTGTCCCTGAACCATGAGAGGAACTGAGTTACGTGGAAAAAAAAACAGGCCACAGAGAATTAACCTCTCTGGGGCAAAGGTCGGTGACGTGAAGAAAGTTTGTTATTTATTATGACTCTTAAGGGGTTAAAGACTCTAACATCTGGTCTGCATGACAGCGTGGCAGGCTTTAGAGTTTATAATGGAAAAGATGTACACAGATTAGTGTTTCACATGTGTCTGGAAGAGGTTGGCTGTCTTCGCCATAATTGTGTAATAATGTATTTATTGTTACACAAGACTTTTGTCAGTATTTATTGAAGAAGTCCCTGCTATTATAATCTAAGTGATAACCTGATAAATAATTACAAACTGAAATGGCTCACAAACCCTGTTCTCTGTCTGTTTTATTCCATAGTCAGTAGGGCTGGGTATCATTCAGAAGTTGCCGATACGATACATACCTTGATATATAGGCCACGATACGATACATATCTCGATACAGTGCACTTTTCAGTTTGATATGATATGTTTCAAATCGATTGGAGACGGTTCAATAAAAAAAGGCTTTATTAAGTCTTTGTTAAATCATTTCTTCTGCAATGTTAATATGAAACATGGCCTTTTTAATCATCAAAACAACAAAAACTGTAAAAACTGTAGCGCTGTAACAAAATAATTCAGTAAAATAAAACAAAAAATACTCTTGGCGATAAATCAATACAGCAGCCCACGTTATCGATACTGTCGCATTAAACGATACGATATATGGGTATTTCAATATTTTTGCACACCCCACCCCTAACGGTCAGTGAGAATTCCAATGATTAACTGCAGTGCATTAATACAGCATAACGCACAAGTAGTCCGGCAACAGCCAAATCACTATTCTGTATCACTGCTCTGCTGCCATTGCCACGACATCACCATAGCAACGGGTAAATCAATTCTCTGAGTAGAATGTAGTAACTAGCTTCAATAAAAACACTGAAATAACTGATATTTTGTCAGACAGTTCAGACTTTTTAGTTTGTAGCCGTTACTATAAGCACATTATACAACAGGAGCCGTGCGTTATACAGTTTTAACGTGTTGCTCCTCATTGTTTAATGCGTTTACATATCACTGCTCTGCTGTCATCGCCATGACATCGCCATAGCAACGGGTAAACAGATGCTTAACTGCTCTGAGTAGAAAGTAGGGACTAGTTTCATTTAAAACACTCAAATAACTGATAATTTAGACATTTACAGACATTTATAGTCGGTAACTTTGCGGAGGGATACCACACTGCGTTAAAACTGGAAAACGCATGGATCCTCATTGTTTGATGCTTACTTAGTCCCTACCATTTCCTCAGAAAAGTTCAGCATTTGTTTACCCGTCGCAATGGTGATGTCATGGCGATGGCCACAGAGCAGTGATATAGAATGTGATTTAACCGTTGCCAGACTACTTTTTGTGCATTTTTAAGCTTTTTTGTCGGTTTTATTGTTAGAGATTATAGCGTCCAGTCCTTGCCGTGTCATAGAAGCAACGTAAGAGCTAGACAATAACAAAATAACAAAGATTACCATATCACCACATCACTAGCTCATTACATAGTTTAACCGTTATCCATATTTTAACGTTAATTCAATACAAATAACAAGAAGCTCAAATACACAGTCACAAATAAAACAAACTCTGTTCCCCTGTTGACTGTTGTTATCTTTAAGTTTTTATATAACTTTTCACCATTGTTTTTGTGTCTTTTCTGTATACCAAGCTAACGTTTTTACCTTCACTTCCGCTCACACAGGAAGTCACCAAAATAAAAGTGTAACCTTACTATTAAACGCCATGGACTGAATGTTAATGTATATAAGAGTTAACTTGACCTTTACCGAGATTATCTAATTTTGCAACTATTTTTATATTATATTAGATGAGATCTTCCTCACCAATAACTATACAACTGTTTTTTATTTCTTGAAGGTCCCTCAAGCAGTTTTAATGCAACACGGCCTTGTCTTTATTGTCTTTACTAGTTTTAAATGCCCCATGTTCCTTATCAGAGCTACTACATGGTTACTGCATTACTCCCTTGGGTTGCGATAGACCACAGTTTTACGAGACTCCCAGACTGAAGATGCCCAAGAGTAGAGTGTTCTTTACCCACAGTGCATCTGTGTAATAGCCCTGACCCGGCTGCTGCTGCTTCTATACTGTCCTGTTAACCGTCTTAAGAGCATTCATCATCGTCTGGTCTTGGCTAACCCCAGAAGCGCAGATGATCAGTAAGACTCAGAGAGCTAATGTCTGGTCTGATATGTTTTGTGTGTTAGTGGTGGGTTTTCTCAGGCCACATGGCACCAGCTGCAGGGATTTACTGTGTACGTTTCCCGTGAGAGATGCACATGTGAAGAAAGACAGGAAGATGCTTGTTCACCTGGAGTAAATAGAGTGTGCACTGGTGATGTCATGTCTACTTCGCTGGACAATACAAAATACAGATCCATATCATCAAAGACTTTTGGCTATCAAAGCACTCTCGATGAACAATAAATAATTAATCCTTCTGCTGACTTGCAAATTGGAGCCTGTATGTATTGATAAAATAAAATAAAATATTGAATGTATACTTTAAGATCGCTTAGTTTTGCAATATAAAGGCCCGTGATTTAGTTTTATGCAACGTTCCAGGTGCAGGGTCCGCCGCCATTGAGAAACAGAAAACGCCAAATGTCTTGTAGAGGTGCAAATGCAAGGAACAGCAAGACAAAAGTGAAAAAATACATAGCACACTCAGATGGCTGATGTCCAAAAGCTTTTTTTTTATTAAAAAAGCCTTCATCGGATATTTTTCTTGCTTCTTGTATGCTGTGGATGAAGGATTTTATTTTTTTGCCGAAGCGCCTTTTTTTTTTTTTTTTTTTTTTTTTGCCGAAATGTTATTTTAAAAATAAAAAACCTTTTGGACATTGGCCATCTGAGTGTGCTATGCATTTTTTCACTTTTGTCTTGCCTGGAAATTTTTCACAGTATAATATTAAACTTATCTATTTCCATGGAGACAAGCACCAAGTTAATTTACAGGTCTGATTTGTGGATAGGTTGACCCCCTTACAGTAGAATGATTTCAAGGTATTGTTTTATTTATAAAACAA